AATACACACCACTATATCACTCACAACAGACACCATTATACCATTCACAACACGCACATAATTGATATCATAGAGTTCTATTTTTTATTTAAAATTTGGGGAATCCATTTTACCTCTGGCGATCTGATCAACCCCTGACGTCATAAGTCATGCCAAGACGACCAACAGTAGATATGCCAAAGACCAATCGCCAGCTCGGCTAAAAAATGACCCATAGTCAAATCGTCATCGCTAAACCATGGCCTTTGGTGGCATACCTATGGCCAGTTGTCGTGACAGGACAAGTTTTCACCAGGAGGTGCCAGACCCGAGGTTAATAGAGGCTTCCCCGGCGGGCGCTAGGCCGGCAATGGCAACAATTGGTCGTTTCTAGGAACTCTATAGACTTTATACTCTATCTATCGAGAAGGATGAAGTAATTAATATATGAGATACATTAATTATCTTGATTCAAACTAATTTATTGATATCTTCCAGTATTTCGACGTACACTCCATTGTTGCCTGTACTAGGAACATCCGCTACAAACACTATTCACTTGGAATTCTATTCACAGCCTCGGATTATTGGAAGAGTAAATAGTTTTGATCTAAGTTTTTTCTCTCTCTTGGTTTATTTCTAATTGAATGTTTTCCCATGAAAAATGATTTAACAAATATTATCTATTATAATTTTATCATTTATCATAACTCTGAAGTGAAATAATTCGAGAAAAAAATATTTTAAAATGAAACACAAAGTGATGATTATAGTGTTTTTTTATAACATATCAATTGGAATTCCCCTAAGTAATAATTGGAGGGATGATTGCATATTGTTGTACAAAGTTGCAGCTTTGCAGGGTCGTCGACCTTGGTTTCATCCTTTGTGTTATACACATTTCCCGAGCGGGTTTTCATACTAGAAGCAAATAAAGAAAAGTAAATAAAAATAAATTACCATTTAAAGTTATTGTGTTTATTTATTCGTTGTCTTCCTCGTAGGTCGCGATCCGCAGTCTTTGTCTAGTTCCTCTCTCGCTCCAATAACCAATCAAAATATATGTACAATAAAATATTACAAAAGGAATGAAACTATAAAAAGGAAGTATGATAATCTAAATAATCTGTTTCAAAAAAAAAATATTAAATATCATAGTATATTTTGAATAAATGTAGGGCGCATTAAATTTAATGCAACAATATAGTATAATAAATAACAAATGTTAAAATGATATTCGCCTAGCAAATATTCACTTGGGAATAAGCCGGGAAAAGCTGAGTCATTAAGTGCTATTATATGATAATTAACTAATAATTTTTTATAATTCCAAAATATTCAAAATGTTTTGTTTATTATATAATTTTAGTCTTTTTAATTAGCTTATATGTTGATGTATATATATTTGGCATAAACATGTAATTATTTACATTGGTTTATTTAGTAGTTTTGTGGAGAAAAACAAAAACTTTAATTTATATTTATAAGAATATATTAAGTAGAGAGTGGATGTTTTCTCGAAAGATATTTCTATTATATATTCATTGGGCAAACTTTAAATTCGGAGAAACCCGGGCGAAACCGGGTACATCCACTAGTTTCAAATAATTAATACAGTCGAACTTGGATAATTCGATGCCCAAGGGACCAAAATAAAATTCGAATTATAAAGGAAATTCTAGGGACCAAGATAAATATTCAATTTAAAGATGTTTTCGAATTAAATAAGTTCCAATCATCCAAATTTTACTGCATAATGTTTTTTTTTTTTCTTTCTCTTCTATTTTCAAAGGAAGATTATTCATCAAAGGATGATTTAACAGACCATGATATTCATGGTGAGTATGCACATGTGGCGGATGTGCATATCAATATGAGTGCACATAAAAGTGATTGTACATTATAAATGTACACAAATCACTGAACAGGTTATATTTATTTGGAGAATATTTGTGTTGGAGATATGCACACCTCGGTTTACATATACAGAGAGTATTTAGACACTCTTAACGAAACAATCTCATGGTAATGATGTCAGTATAATCGGAGTGTGTGTGTGTGTGTGTTACACACATACACACAGACTCCTGAATTCCCCCCCCCCCCCCTCCCACTCGCCATTTTTACTTTCTCTTCTTTTATATTGTCTGATCCAAGGTTGAGGATATTGGTATGATAGTCAAATAGAAAGGTCGAAACTATCGCCAGGTTTATTTTTGACAAGACACGGCTTGGTACCTACCTCTTTCCATCCTGGTTGTACCATTAGATTTTCCTCTAGATCAAAACAAAACATATTGACTCCAAATTACCTTAGGAAATTCAACTTATACTATTAAAAAATTTTCAAAAATGTATTTAAGTATTAAATTCTTCTTATTATTATCTCTCACTAGTTTGATAAAATGTTTTTGCCTTTTATTGTTTTTCTAACTTACTCTCGTTAATTCTTCCTTTTTTTTTCTTCTTATTTTCCGCTTATATGACGTGTAACTGCCGAAGTGTTCTTTACCATGAAATTGTTGAAGCCCTGAAAATTTTGTTTATATATATAATATATATATATATTAAAAACCTATAATCCGTATATATCTATTTTCCTTTTAACCTCTTCACTTATTAATTCTATATTTATTTAATACTAGGACCGGCTTCGCCCGAGAATTCCCCCGAGTGCAATTTCCTTCATATTGAAAGTACATCAATAATAAATAGTAGAAGTGCCATATAATAGCAATGCAGAAGTAACACATAAACCACGGGCAAAAAGTGTGTGTGATGGCAAAAATTGTATTATATTAGTGTTTAGGTATTTGATTTAATTATTATTATATAAATATTTTTTTGCAATCAATTAGTTGTTTCAAAATCATATGGTGTAAATAGATGGCGGCTTTTCTACCCAACCCCCGAAGTACCCGCCCCGTAAGTTGCGTGAGTGACTGCGATGGATCTTCACTGCGATGCCCATCTTCTCAGTAAGAATAAGAAAAAATAGTTTTATAAAAAAATTAATCCAAAATACTGGCATGTAAATATTTTTCTGTAAAAAATAAAAGAGCACATGGAAATTAGGCAAACGTGTGTTTGCTAATGACAGCGACTGCATTTTAAACGATTTTTTCAAAGAAATAAAAAAAGGCCTAAACAAAAATGAATACAAAATACGAAAGCCATTATTTACATACAGTTACGCTAATTTTGTAAAGTTTTTTTTTTTTTAATTGCATTGTGTGCACTTACCGTAACTTAGTAATATAAATTTCTCTCTCAATACTCAATGTTTTTGTAAAAAAAAAATAACACTCGTATAAAAATATATTTAAAAAAAAGTACGCAAGCAACTTGAAAAAAAAATGCAGAACGCTCATTGGTCACTAAATTGGCCTGATGTTGTCACTTCGCCTCGTAATTACCCCACGTAAAAAAGTTCAAATGAAAAAAAAATAAAAATAAATAGGCAAAAATACTAATCAAAATGTAGCCAAAATTTTCCTTAGGTTTATAAAAAGCGACATGCAAAATTTGGTACCAATTGGTTCAGTAGTTTATGAGTTTATCGCGAAACAGACAACAGGCATTGACTTTTATATATAAGAAGATATTTAAAAAAAAGGCCAGAACAAAAATTAATAAAAAATACGAAAGCAATTATTTACATACAGTAACGCTAATTTTGTAAAGTTTTTTTTTTTAAATTGCATTGTGTGGACTTACCATAACTTAGTAATATAAATTTCTCTCTTAATACTTTTGTAAAAAAAGTGACACTCGTATGAAAATATATTTTTAAAAAAAGTACGCAAGCAACTTGAAAAGAAATGTAGAACGCTCATTGGTCGATTAAATGGCCTCGTGTTGTTACTTCGCCTCATATTCACTCCGCGTAAAAAAAAGTTCTTCAAATGAAAAAAAGAAATAGCCAAAAATACTAATCAAAATATAGCCGAAATTTTTCCTCAGGTTTATAAAAAGCGACATGCAAAATTTGGTACCAATTGGTTCAGTAGTTTTTGAGTTTATCGCGAAACAGACAGACATTGACTTTTATATATATAGAGATATATATGCAAAATTATATATTCAATACACTAATATATATATGTATTAAAAAGTGAGCTATATTATATTGGAATATCGAAATTGCTAAACTAGTTACAAAACGTGATAATAGATGGCGTTACAATAAAACTCTTGTAAAAATAAACCTGCACACTTTTCTTTTAGAAAATTATAAATATTTAAATTTGAATAATATATATATTATATATATATATAAAATTGTGCGGGATGATGGTATTCATATACCAAAATGAGGCACTTCTCCCTTTAAGATGTAAAAGTATTACATTAAAACTATTTTATTGATCTTCTCTGCGCAAAACATGCAGATTCAGATAGTTGAATTTGCCACAGCATCAACAATATCTTCATATTGTTGGCACCTAGTGGTGTATTTGGGGAGGTTTCTTCCGATGTTCTCCTTTGTATAGGAACATGTCTAATAAAAATAATGCGCGCAGGTATCAACCGAACTTTTGGCCGCAAATAAGAAGCGAATAATCTTTATTTATCTAACTTAATGACAAAAGGTGTCAATATTATATTTACATAAAAATCTCTTTTTTCTAGATTTTATTCATTTTGTCTCCTCTCTAATTGTAAATACGCTGCTGTATCACCTCATAAGCATAAATAAATAACATAAAAATAATGACAAGAGTGAATATATTCACTTCACACAATTCGGACAGTACTTCACTCAAGACATAGTACTTCCCCATGTTCAGAGATTGTCACGTCCTCGCATACCTTCAATTCGTTGAAAATAAGGCTTGAGTCTAAGACAATGAACTATCAACAGTTTTTAGTTGGGAGATATTATCCTCTCTTTAGTCCAATTAGGTAATTACATTAGAGAGATTTCTTTAGTGTGTTCCATAAAAATCACAATCACAGGCCGCAGTGTATTATATTGTATTATAAGTTACTTTATGTATTATTTACGAACGGAAAAATACGTCCAGGGTAGCCTAGTGGACATGGCATCTGCCCGGTAAGCGGAACATTGTGGGTTCGATTCCCATCCCTGACACTTTTATTTTTCCGTTCGTCATTGCTCTTCATAATTCACCCTTTCATACCTCATCCAAAAAGGTTAAAAATGGTCGATATTTTACCTTGAAATAAAAAATTGATTTTTCGTTCAAAAGAAACTCATGCGGTGTAACTTCAAGTGTCGTTATACAAATTAATGTCAATATTACCTAATATTCGAAGCCAATTGGTTTGAATGATTTTTCGTTCTTCTCACTGATATATTCGCTATTACTGATGCCTTGATAAATTTTATGGAAAGTCTCAAAATGATGGCATCTTCATAACTTTTACAATTTCATTTCATCACTGAAAGTATTCAACAAATGAGCAGGAGCTCATAGTCAATTAACGCTTTAATTTCCTTTAGGAAATCTCGTCTAAGAAAGATTTTAAAATCAGTTTTGATAAATGCAAATTTATCTGAAAATATCATATCTTGAATTTTCATATTCAAGAAAAAAAATATTCGCTACCCTATTTAGTTTTTTTATTTCCATCGGGTCCAGAGGAAATAAGAGCAGGAAGGATTATTTGAAATACGGTCTTTATCAGAGGAGCTGTTTTAAGGTCAACCATTGAAGACATAGCTCCTGTATCCACCAAATAAATTTAAATATGCATATATTATAAATGAATATATAAATTCAATCTGTATTCAAAATTATTATGAAAAAATCAAAGGCTTCTGTGAAATTAGTAATGCAGTATTTTATTAAATGTTTTTTTTTTTTAAACAAAATGTAAGGAAATAAAAATAAGAAACAAATGAAGTTGACTGCGATTATTAGGAAAAAATTAGGTTAAAAGAGATACATAAGGTTCGGGGATTTCTATATATCTATTTATACTAGCAGGATCTTTTATTGATGCTATGGCCTCTAGGAACTTCCTCTGGTGTGAGTTCTGGATGCCCCTGTAAATAGTGGAAGTATTTTCCCAATCTGGCTAATTCCTTGGGACCCAGACTCCAAGAACACAAATCTTCTTGGAAGTATGGAATTTTGCCATGGTGGAGCATGGTCTCCGATCGGGACATCAGCCAAATTGGAAAAATACTTCCACTATTTACAGGGGCATCCAGAACTCACACCAGAGGAAGTTCCTGGAGACCATAGTATCAATGAAGGACCCAGCTAGTATAAATAGATATGAAGAAATCCCTGAACCATATGTATCTCTTTTAACCTAATTTTTTTCTAATAATCGCAGTCAACTTCATTTGTTTCTTATTTTTATTTCCTTATATTTTGTTTCAATAAATTATATAAAATACTGCATTACTAATTTCACAAAAACCTTTAATTTTCATAATACTTTTATTTTATTATTATTATCAATAATTATTTTTGTCCAATGACAAATTTGTGTTCATATGATCTACAAGAATTTGTAAATAAAATTTACTGTGTTACTTAATTGATAAAGAGGGAGCAATCTCTCGAAATATTTTGAGAAATTTTTTCTTTACAGATCCAGGTACCCTCTTTTATATATACACATATATATTCAATAGATATATTTTATTTTCAATTATTTTTTTTTTTGTATTCTTCAAATTCTAATGAAGAGGCAGTGATCACTTTGGAGAGATACTAACGTACACCTGACATTACGAGGGTAAACAACCTGAGACGTGTTTATTCCCTGAAAGACCGCCATCATGATCTTCACACTACTGCCACTGAGTCATCATAACTGCTGCTAATAAAACTCCTTAAGATACCTTTCTGACCCAACCTCAACTCCTAACACAAGAAGCTACGTTTTTTTCTAGCACTTTCTTAAACGATCCTAACACATTTAAGGAAGGTCTATTGGAGAGTTCTAGACTGTATGGAGGGTAGTGTCTCCAGAATATCCTATTTAATGCGCTTTAGGCGCCTCAGCGGTATGAGGACGGGCATGCAGAAGACCGACCTTCCGTGACAAACACTTAGGTTCTTTAGTCCAACACGGAGACATTGATGGTAGTTCCGCGGGAAGCAAAAATGATGTACCATGAATTCCTAATAATTAACGAACGCAGCTTCAAAATATCTTTAAAACCAGACAAACGATATTTCCTACACCTGAGGCATTGCTTGCTTTGTCCCTTCTGGGACGTTCCATGTTAAGTCACCAATCTTTATGCGTACCAAACAATTTTTAATATCTGTTGCGATTCTCTCAAGTTGTATCTGGATGAACGATTTTCTACTGGCTTGTTGTACGGACGTAAGATCATGCAGGACGTCCTAGTGGTCTGCCAAGACAACAATTCGTATTGAGTCTGGACCACATACGGTAATTTGGTGAACCTCCGGATGGATTGTTTCTTACAGTATCTCCTCCTCGAAGGTGAATAGTATTGTTTGGCACAATCAATTTGCAGACCATTCTGTACAATGTGCCTTACTTGACATATCAGCATATAGAGTTTCCAGACTGGTGAAATATTTCTGAGGTGTTGATTCTCTTAGCAACTAGGAATCGTATATTTTGACGACTACAGTGTTTGATTTCTAGAATTTAACTGCACTCGGCACGTCGCTCTGGTGTAATGAATTTAGCTCAATATGTTGTGATCACTTCTTACTTTCTTACTGTAACTTTATATTTATATCGATTTATTGGTGTTTACTTTATAATTTAAACTTTAACTACCTTTTCGATATATAGCTTATTTCACGTTCTCAACACATATTCACAACAGGCTCTCTATACACATACAATTTCACAATACACACCACTATACCACTCACAGTACACACCACTATACCACTCACAATACACACCACTATACCACTCACAATACACACCACTATACCACTCGCAATACACACCACTACACCATTCACAACACGCACATAATTGATATCATAGAGTTCTATTTTTTATTTAAAATTTGGGGAAGCCATTTCACCTCTGGCGATCTGATCAACCCCTGACGTCATAAGTCATGCCAAGACGACCAACAGTAGATATGCCCAAGACCAATCGCCAGCTCGGCTAAAAAATGACCCATAGTCAAATCGTCATCGCTAAACCATGGTCTATGGTGGCATACCTATGGCCAGTTGTCGTGACAGGACAAGTTTTCACCAGGAGGTGCCAGACCCGAGGTTCATAGAGACTTCCCCGGCGGGCGCTGGGCCGGCAATGGCAACAATTGGTCGTTTCTAGGAACTCTATGGACTTTATACTCTATCTATCGAAGGATGAAGCAATTCATATGAGATACATAAATTATCTTGTATCAAACTTATTTATTGATATCTTCCAGTATTTCGACATGTCCTACCTTGTTACCTCTGCTATCCACTACAAACACTGTTCACTTGGAATTCTATCCACAGCCTCGGATTATTGGAGAAGTAAATAGTTTTGATCCAAGTTTTTTTCTCTTACTTGGTTTCTTCCTAATTGATTTTTTTTCCAATGAAAAATGATTTAACAAATATTATATATTATAATTGTATCATTTATTATCACTCTAAAGTGAAATAATTCGAAAAATAAATATTTTAGAATGAAACACAAAGATATGATTATAGTTTCAATAAATGATCAATTGGAATACTCATGAGTAATAATTAGAGGATTCATAATGAAATCAAATAGAATAATAAATAAAAAACGTTGAAGTGATATTCGCCTGGCAAATATTCACTTGGGAATAAGTCGGGAAAAGCTAAGTCATTAAGTGTCATAATAATTAACTCAATATTTTATAATTTCAAAATATTCAAAATGTTTTGTTTATTATATAATTTAAGTATTTTTGATGAGCTTATATGTTGATTTATATATTTAACTACCAACATACAAAATATTTCATTGGGTTATTCAGTAGTTTTGTGGATAAAAGTAACAGAAAACTTAATTGATCTTTATAAGAAAATTTTAAGTAGAGAGTGGGTGTTTTCTCGAAATATTTCCTTTTATTTATTCATTAGGCAAACTTTACTCGGGTAAAACCCGGGCGAAGCCGGGTACATCCCCTAATTCCAAATAATTAATACAGTCGAACTTGGATAATTCCAAGCCCAAGAGACAAAAAAAAAAACTCGAATTAAAAACAGAAATTCTATTTATAGGAAATTTTGGGACCAAGATGAATATTCGAATAATCTTAGTTCTACTATAGTTTAATTTCCCAATTTTCAAAAAATCATTTTTATATTTCATATATTTTGATAGATTCTATGTGTTCTATTCTATATTATTATGAAAAAGGAGGAATGGAAAGAAATCAAAAATGGTGAATTTATATCGGCATAAAATTTTAGTTCTAAGACAATAATTCAACTCTCACTATCTCTAAAATTACAGTGGTGAATGACATTGATACTTTGTTTAAAGAAGGAAATTATAATCATAGTCCAGACAGTAATTCACATGGCTGATATATTTCTTCCACACTCTGGTCGCACTCATTGCTGAGAGTAATGACGAGATGTGAATTGACTGGAACCTGTTGAAAGTAATCTCTTCATGTACAATTAGAGCATGTGGAACTACAATTGGTACAATTATTATTGAAAATCCTTTTAAACTTCATTTTATACATATCTTGGCCTTGTTTCATTGTCGGCGTCAGTTCATTATACATTTGGCCTTCTTGTCATAATTTGATACTTGACTAATGATATTTCACCTGAATAATCTTGATAATAAATTTAATTAAGATACATTCTCAATCATCACATAACGAACTTTTTTTTCTTTTTACACATTCGAACTTTTGGATGATTCGAAACCCAAGGAACCAGAAGAAAATTCGTATAATCCAAAAAATCGAATTGAAAACGGAAATTCTATTTATAGGAAATTCTAGGTACCAAGATAAATATTCTAATTAAAGGCGTTTTCGAATTATCTCTATTTTACTGTATAATGATTTTTTTTCTTTCTCTTCTATTTTCAAAGGATGATCATTCATCAAAGGATGATTTAACAGACCATGATAACCTTGGTGAATATGCACATGTGCGGATGTGCATATCAATATGTGCG